TTCTATCTCCCGTGTTAGCTGATGGTATAATAAGGTGAGGAAATATTGAAGTTAGTTCTCGGTCGAGTGTGTTAGTAAAGGAGGCGAAATCAATCGACGAGGTTGTGAAGGTGAATCGATTGAGATGGTTAAGACATGTGTTACGTGTGTGACTAGCCTAGCCATCGCCTTCGTCGTTCGGTGGTCCATGTTAGCTGATATAGAGATGGATGAGGTTGTAAAAGAGCTAGGACATGGTGGTCAAACGAAAGCACGGCTTCATCAGTCAATGGAATCCATAAGAGTTAGTTTAAGCTGGCCAGTCAACCAGCCAGCCACGTAAGGAAGTGTAGACTTCCTAACTAATTGACTGGTTGGCATCCTCTGGACGGTAAAAACCAATGGCTGGATAGAATCGGTGATATGGCTAAAAATTGTTCTGAATGGTGCAGATACGTCCAATCCTTGTGACTTGTAATTCCCAATAATACTTTAGTTTTCTTCGATATTACTATTCCTTTTGCCTTATATCTCTGTTTGTTGTTTTTATTTTGCATTTCTCTTCATTAGCTTCTCTTACTTTGTGTGCTAGATGGAGGGAGTGTGGACACTCGAACTGCTACACATCGGTGCAAAGTTCTATGTCGAAACCAGTCATTCAGACAGTTCATATGAATACAGGAGAAGGATGTTTGTGTTTTTTGTTATACTCATGATCACGAAGAACTCTCCTTGTAATTGTTGTTACAGGAGAGATAAAGACACTTGTATGGTTTCACGGCTATTGAACAGAAAACCTCAACTTGCTTAAACACACAACCAGCCTACTAAATGTTCATGTGTAGGAAATTCTGTTCACAAGTAGTTAGACTTGAAAGAATTGATGTCTGCTTAAAGATTTCAAAGTTGTGTCATGGTCACCAAGTGTTTCACTCAGAAATATATATTATCACCAAGGGATTCAGTTTCATTATTAACGTTCTGATGAAGTGTTGCGAATAGGCGCAAAACTAAGATCCCATAGGCTTACACTGCTACCACTAGGCCCCAACTTGAGGTGTCCTGTGACGGCTAGCAGCACCCTTGAGTGATGACTACATTTCACATAGTTGAAAGTATTCAGTAAACACCAGTTAAGAGACTGCAGAGTTGTCTTATAAATAAAAAAAATGCTGCTTACACTTAAGGATCAATAATCTGAATTCAGATTTAGCTGACGTCTTTTTTTCATGTTTATATGGTGTAAATGTGGTATTCATTAAGCCTTAACGTGTAAAAGACTGTAATATAAATGGCTTTGTTGTGCGTCGATGTTCCCTAACCAACCATGGGGACCGGTGTTCGATTCTCGACCGACATATTCCAAACTTCCACTTCTTTTCTTTATCCTTCACGTTCCCAGTGGAACATAGGGCTTCAGGCTAGTGTCCTGAAGTTTCTGTAGCAGTGTTTAATTTTACAGGATATGGTTGCTAGCCTCATGCCCAACATTTAAACTTAACCAGTTTTATTTCTGGTTTAGCGAGGTAAAGGAGGGCGTCGGCCGGGAATCGAACCCCGGACCATGTGCGTGGTCGGCGAGCGTCCTAACCGCTGTGCCACCGACGCACAAACTTCCACTTAGACGGTAGTAAGCCTGATATAAAGAGTCAAGGTCAGGGATGCGGCTATCAACCCCACAAAATAATAATAGCTTTATTCCAAACAGTATTTTTTCGTACAAATAGGGAATTTCTAGCATGCAGTATATTGCACTTAGCTTTCTCATTACAGGGGTATAATTAGAATATGGTGTTTAGATTGATAATATTATTCAGTAAGAATATTGAATAAGATCAAACTAGGTGAAGCTAATAACAACATAAAAAAATGAAAAAGGTAGGGCTGTCTACTTAGAGTTCAGCAGCTAGTCAGTAATATCCTGTGTTACATATTTCTCATTACATAAAATGTATGCCTGTCAAACATAAGGTATTTTAGAGTTTTCGACTTAGTCGTCCTAGCAAACAGTCTTCTATATGGTTGCTTCTAGTCCCCCTGCCTGATGAGATGCATCAAGGAGAGAGTGTTGTGCATAAAGAGGATACTCAGAGTCTGCACCAGCCTATGTCTATGCCTGTCTACAACAGTATTGATGAGTTGGTTTAGTGACACTCCCCACCCCCCCCGACAGCTTTTAGTGCCCTTCATAGTATAAGAAAGTCTTTTTTAAGTGTAACCAGGGTAGGATTAAGATGGGGGGCAGTAAAGAAGAATAAATAGAATACACGAGTTAACGAACTTAGAAAGCAGAGACTGAGTGATACTGGACTGTCTTAATTTCCTTACGTAGAACGCTATACGAATTATCCTTCTGGAAACTAAAGTGATGTGACAAGATCAGAGGTAATACACATTCCAATGTTATTAACATTCGATTTAGTTCCAACCTGTGTATCATCTATGATAGTGGAACTGTGAGAATTAACCAGTTCATGTAAGTCATGCTTGTGTCTGAAAGTGAAATTAATAACCCCTCGACATTTGGATGGATTAAGCTTAAGACTATTTGAAAAGAACCACTGACTGATTCCTAATAAAAATGTTATTCATTTTGGGATAGCCTAACTGAGAAGTAACAGTCAGATCATCGCCATACTTGACGTAGTTGACTTCGTCAGAATGAGGTAAGTCATGTAAGAAGAAGAAAGACCAAAAGAAAAGGAGAAAGAATAGCACTGGCTGAAAATAACACCAGCTAGAGTAAGTGAAGCAGTGGAAGACTTCCTACTGTGAAGACTTCCCATTGGTGTAGGTATGTAGATGATACATTCACTGCAAGTAGAACACAGGATATGGAAGGATTTTTCGAACACATCAACTCGAAGGTAGAGGCACTTTTTCAATTCACTTGTGAATTGGAAGGACTGGGAGCTTCCAATGTTAGATTGTAAAGTAAACAGGAAAGGAGATGGAAAGTCAAACACTAGCGTTTACAAGAAACCTACACATTCAACTATCCGGTCAAATCTTGATCACAGTTCATATGAATTCAAACAGATATTTGGACTCCCGAACATCTCAATCTTGGGATGCCAGTGAAAATAGAACTGGTGAAATGTTTAAATAATAGAGCACAAAAACTAAGTAGCACCAAGGAAAATCTAAGACAGGAAATGACCCATATAAAGAAGCTTTGGAACTTAATAATTACCCTGATTAATTATTCAGAAAGTATTTAGGGTAATGTAAAAATAAAATATATAATGATAGTAGGGATAGTGATAATAATAACAGTAATCTTAATGACGACATACATGTCAAACATGCGCAAAAAATCCCCAACAATAAGGAATCTAAATCATCAGTAGTAATTCCATACAAGGAAGGAACCTCGGAAACCAGCTTACGGAGAATTCTTAACAAGGCAGGAATAAAAGTGCCTGGCATTCAAACCCACAAACTCAATTAGAAACAAGATTTGTCGGTTAAAGGATCAATCATTAGGAACCCTTAAAACAAAACAATTTAGTTTATCTATTACCCTGTCTGCAACGAATGTGACGTTAAAGTAGTAGAAAAGGTGCAGTCAGACTAGCAGAACACAAAAACCTATCAAAATCTAGATTGGTTGACCCCAATAATAAGATAAGGAATCTAGAGAATAGTTCAGCTAATCCACTCACTACGTGCAATTACACACAACTATACAATAGGCTGGATTGGATAAGATGACAGTTTTAAGATCTAATGTCACAGGGTGGAGGGAGGGAGAGATTGATAACAAGCTTTGTTTGTCGAATCAACTGCAAATACGTATAATAGGAATGATTCAACACCTGTCATCATCAGTTGTATCACAGTACGGCGTATCCTTCTTATTCTTGAAGATAAAGCATATGGATCAGGTTACTCTCTTTCTCTCTCTGTCTCTCTTCCCATAGCGAGGAGAGTAGGTCAACTGATGAGGTTGTGGAGGTGAATCACCTAAGATGGTTAGGATACGTGTTTCGCATGACAAGTTACCACCTTTCGTGATGAGCAAATTTACCTGATATATGATTACACTGGAAAAGAGTTAGAGGCAGTCAGACCAAAACCTGTCATCAATCCATGAAACCCTTGACAGTTGGTTTGAGCCAGACCACATAGAGAGAGAGAGAGAGGTGTGTCGCCTAGTCGGGGTCTTCTGGACACTAAGAGCCAATCAATGCAGACTATTAGTGATACTTCTCAAAATCATTCCTAACACAGAGCTAACTCAGAACTATATGAAGTATGGCAACTTGAAGTGAACTGCTGCACTTCCCGGAAAAGTTCTACACATTGAAATTCAGTCAGTCAGTCAGTCAGTCAGTTAATCAAGTTAGTGGAAACTACTCAAGTAGTCGTAAAAAACAGACTCCTAACCCACTGACATTTTTGATATGTGAATGAATCTACCTAACAGAGAAACAATGTAATATGCATTAATCTATCATTGCACAGAAATTTATGTATATATGCTTTCATTACTCTCGAATCCATGTGGAGGAGATCAACAGCACTCAGCATCAAAAATAAGATCCAGGTTTTCAACTCCAATGTGAAGTCAGTCAGTGCTACTGACTATACGGATCAGAGACTTGGCGCGTCATAAAGAGCATCTCAAACAAACTTCAGACCTTCACCAATAGCTTTCTTCGCTCAATACTTCGGTCAAGATCATATGGTCGGCCAGAAAAGATCAGAAACAGGGATCTCTAGGAGCAAACCAACCCAGAAGGAACCGATTGTGCAACAAATAAGCAAAATGAAATAGGGTGGATTGGCTGGCCATATTCTGAGAAAACAAACCATCAAGTGACATTACTAGACAAGCCATTGCTCGAGTGGAACCCGACCGTAAGGGAAGCGGTGAGTTGGTCGTCAGTGGAAGGGTGACTTGGAGGAGGAAAGCATGTGGGCAGACTTGGAGCCAGGTGAAAACTCTAGCAGATAACCGAAGGCAGTGGAGATGTGCAGCTGAAGCCCTATGTTCCTCTAGGAATCAAAGGAAATAATAATAAAATAATAATATATATTGTCCAATTTCAACTCATCGATCATAATTCGTCAATAAATACATACATACATACATAATTGTGTATACAGTTATAGTTTTAATTATAATAAATAATAATTAGAGAAGACAGTAGTAGCATTAAGGCAGAAAGGCACTTGATTGAGCAGTGTAATCAACAAGGGCGGAAAAATTGTGTGTGTGTGCGTGTGTGTGTATAAAATCAATAGATTGGAGGGAGAGAGATAAAGAGAATTATAAAGGAGTGTGAGTACACATCAAATATGATGTATTTTATCAATAAGAACAATCACAATACAAAATATAGCCCATACAAATATGAATAGTATCCAAGCTATGCTTTGAAAAGGTGATGCATGCATGGTGAACTTCGCTGTTAACCGATGATATGAATATTTGTCAATAATTGAGACTGTTTGTGGCAAGTTATTAGCAGCAGTAGTTAAGCATTCTGTTGAATTATATACCTCATTACTTTCTGCAGTATTACTTGAAGTCGTCTGTATCATTGCGTCATCATGAACAGTTCTCATATCATTACTACTACTACTATTATTTTGATGTTCTCCATCTGTTCTGATGGTTACAACACTATTTGACGATGATATGATAAAATTTGAAAGTTGTCGACGTGCTTTATACACTAATACACCTGGTATAATATATTGGATGCCAGAGCCGAATATTGCCCCAGTGAAACCAGTTAAATAGCCAACATTATCTGTGATCAAGGCGATACACAATGGAGGTAAAGCGACAATAAACGGTAGACTGTACTTCAACGCCGTTTTTGCTTTACCCCCTTGAAATACCGGGAAAAAACTGCACAAACTGTATATATTGCCGAGTAGACTAGTTCCAATAATTGGATAGGATGAAGTGAGTGCGAATACAGGGAATAGGCATAAAAAGTAACCAAATATTAAGGCTATTGTATACGGAATATGTGAGATATCAATAAACGCCTGATCAGGTATAAAATTCAAGGTGTATAAATCTTCAATATGATTAAAAGCGATAATAGCTGTACTGGAGAGGAATAGATTGAATAAGAGAACTGTTATAAACACGGGAATAAATACTTTATACAATATTCTATGCTTATTTCCTATGGGTGTTACAATCCCCGGGATAGAATGATGACACATGAACACGTAAACACAAACACCGAATAAATTTGGTATATTGTGTGGTTGAAACATTGGTGGTTGAGGAATTGGTTCTGGTTGGCTAAATAGTGTATAAACTGATGGATTCCAGAGGGGTAGTGAGGCGGCGACTGTAATGCTTTTCCGCAATAGAATAGCTCTTTCAATGGATAGGCTTAACATTAATAGGAAACCAAGCCATCGTAAGCAAACAGTGAGTAGTTGAAGCCATCGTGAACGAGTTACACTGAAGAAGAGAAATGGTAGCACAAATGCTCCAAATATAACCTACAGAAAAAAAACAATAATATTGTAAAGTAGGTTAACAGAAGGTATAAATAACATCATAGTACAATTTATAAAGGAAATATTTAGAAATAGTAATAGAGAAGATTTTTAGCTTAAATAGATGATTTTGATAGATGTAGTTGTGTTCTATGAGCTGGGTGATGGTTTAACTGAGAAGTAGTCATTATCTATCTAGACAGCAGATTCAACAAAGACTTCAATAATATGAAAGTGAACTTATTCGAATTCCCCATGATCCATATTTGTCTATCCTTCCTGACGATTGATACTAATACAATATAAGTATAAAACTTGGGCACTGTGGTAGGGTATAGTAATAATAATAATAACTATCCTATAAAATTTATTAGGAAGATCGAAAAAGGCCAAAAGCAAAATAAAAATAATTGTGAAACTAGTAGTGATATAACATAAATAAGAGAGAATATAAGTCATCTACTGTTATACCATATAAGGAGGGGACATCTGAGACCACCATACGTAGGATTCCTAATAAATCAGGAATTAGCGTGGCATTCAAACCTACAAACTAACTCAGGTAGGACAAGCTGTGTAGGCTAAAGGACTCTGTCGGTTGACCCAATTAAACAAAATAATATAATTTACATAATACCCTGCAATGACTGAGTGAGGTCAACTATATAGGTCAAACTAGTAGATCGGCGGTAAGCAGATTGTCGGAACATAAGAATGTTTTCTTCCAAATCGTGGAAAATACCCATCGGAACATTGAATTGAAAAGAACAAGATATCTTTGCTAAACTTCTTGTTCATTTCAATCTAATGTTCCGATGGGTATTTTCCATATAAGATTTTAACTAAGGTAAGAGTGGTTGACCCCACCCGAGAAGATAAGTAATTTAGAAAAAAGCTCAGCAATTGCACTACATGCATTAACATACAACCACACAATAGGGTGGGTGGGAGAGGGTTGAGATCCCAACAAATAATCTACATAGGTGGAGAGAGAGGTTGATTACTGAATCCTGCCTGGTTCATTTAGTCTACGCCCAACACAGCACATGCAACAGAAATGACTCAATGCAAATACCAGAAATATGGAAGATATTATTACCACCAGTCAGTCAAATCAGAGGAGGATAATAAATAATCTCAAAATTCTATTTCAATTCAAGCACATCACGAAACTAGAAAATGGGCCTCTGAAGGACGTTATTAGTGAACTCGAATTTTATTGTCCTTACATGGATGATACTTTTTTGATTATGAAAAACAAGAAGGAAGTAAAAAGCATACTGGATAAATTTTATGAGGTACATCCTGCAATAAATTTTACCATCGAGACAGAAAAAGACTCTAGTATTCCATTTTTAGACGTCTTTATGACCAGAAAAGAGGATGGCACAATAAGAACAAGTGTTTATAGAAAACCTACATCAACGGGCCAGTACACACATTTGATAAAGTGCCTGGTTCACAGAGCAAGAGCGATTTGCTCGGACGAATGTCTTGATGAGGAACTGAATAATATTAAACGGTTGCTAAGTGAGAATGGTTATCCTGAAAAGTGTATTGATAAGAATATGAATTTGAAACCAAAGCAGCCGAAGTTACCAACAGTTCCAAAAAAGGCCTTATTCTTACAGATGCAGTTCCTTGGGTACAACACTAGCGAGATACTAATGTGGTGAGAGCAGGCTGCTAGCCGATTGGTTGGCACTAATCTACGTTAAGGTCTAGGTCACTAATATGGGCCGTGAGAAAATATGAACAAGCCTGAGTCAACAACCAATCACAGCAAAGTTAACGTGGCAAAATATGATTCGCAGAGAGAACTCTATTTGTCAAGGAATCCCGAAACAACCAATCAGAAGCCTGCGTTTGTCTACCTAAACAACCAATCAGATGACTGCGCTTGTCTATAATAATGTAGTTGAAAGATGTATAAATACGTGTTGATTTTCATAATAAAACGATCTGTTGCCTGGCCCTTGTCTTCTGTTGTTACACTAACACAGCGCCTTAGAAATGCGGTAAAACGAGCATTCCCTGCTGCTGAATTACGTTGTATCTTTAAGACCACCCCTCTTCTGCGTTCGGGAGTAAAAGACAAACTACCCGAATTCGCCTCATCCGTGTGTATCTACCAATTTAACTGCTCCTGTGGAGCCAGTTAGTTACATAGGCCGTACAATTAGGCGTGTTCCTCGTCGAATTTCCGAACATCACCCTGCGTGGTTAAGCAAAGGCCAAACAAAATCTATTCGTAGCGCTATTCTGGCTCACCTTGTGGATACAGAACATAAGATTGATGTTAACCAGGCTTTTAGAGTTATTTACCGGATACCAACAAATCTTAACTTCACCTTAAGAGTTCGATTACTAAATATTGCTGAGGCTGTTGGGATCCACATTAATAAGCCTAATTTATGCGTCCAAAAGAAGTTAGTCCAGACATTGTTCTTACGTTGGCCATCTAGGTTTGAATGATCCTCAATTTTTGTGGAAATTTCCTAATTTTAGTTGATATTTGATTTGCTATTGTATCTTTATTTCTATTATAAATTAAGTATTTTTAGTGAACTGTAATTGAATTGATCATACTTTACAAATCGATATTATTTAAAAAACACCAGTATTGTTACTAACTACCGATCTTGAATATTTTGTGTATATAAACATATGTATAATTGTAGAGCCAGAAGAGGAATTTATCGAAAAGAATATTCTTTGCTGGATTATTTTGTGTTTTATAGATGTTTGAATGAATATTTTTGCTATATTCTAATAAGTTACTCATTTCCCATCTGATTGTATTTGATCAATAACACTCATATTATTATTTCTGAATGTACATTATCACCTATTGATTTTTCCTCAGATATCTAGTCAATTCCACACATGTATATAAATGAAGGGAAAAGTTGTGTGAGTGCCTGGATATGATTATGAGCAATAATTTGTGCTCGAAAGGTGGTCATCAGTTAATATTACTGTGTAACACTGTGTGATACAAGTCGACAATCTAAGTTGTCAGTCCTGTATTTTTAATTCTCTTGCATTCTAAGTGGTATATAGGGCTTCAAATGTTTAGACTTCAGTAGCCGTGCTGCTTTTCTATGGGGTGAGGTTGTTATAGTCTCACAGCCGACCTTGACACTTTTCCAGTTACTAAAGGCCAGTAAACTAGAAGTGTGTTGGCAGGGAATCAAACCGGGACAACATGCGTGGATGGCGAGCATCCTACAGGTGAAACACCGGCCTCAAGAGAGACAATTATATCATCCGAATAGAATTTAAATAAGTTCACTTCACATTGAGTGTGACGGAGCGAAAGACAATGAAACTTTCACAATTTAATCACCCAGCTCTAAGATCAAACAACCACATAACAACGCGGCGTTTTAAAACTTGGATTACCGAAACTCCTATCGTTATATTGCATATAATTTGTCTTGTTCACTTAGTTAAAATCGATTTTGATATAACTTCTAATGGTTATACTCTTGCAAATATTTGAAATGTTTGCATCCTGCTGTTTCACAAGTTTCTACTGAACTTGAGGAAAAGCATAATGACGGGTGGTAACGTATCCGAATTACATGAAATAACTGTTCCTAAGATTTTTAGTACAAACTGCCACTGTCTAAGAAATAGCAGTAACTACTTGCAGTATCTAATCATTCAGTTACGCCTTTGAGGGATCCAGTACCCTTTTTTTAATTGGCTTCAAACATAATGTCAACCAAGCATTTATCGAAGAAGACAAGGAAGAAATATCACAAGGGATTGGTTTGTGTCATAGATCAGACGGGATTGTGTCAAACCATCTAATATTTTATTTGGAGATCCTGGACAAACAGAAAGTATTCCGCGAAAAATTCTACTGGATATTCCGTACGTTCTATAAACTTTCTCCAGAATAAAACAATCATTATTATTTACAGATAAACTAAATAGGTATCTCAAAACAACTAAAAATTGCTGTATCTCTAACGACAGAAGACAAGGGTCAGGCAATAGGTCATTTATTGAAGAAATCAAGAGGTTTCATACATTTATTCCCCTTAATGAATTTGAACAAAGCAAGAACTACAGTTTTAGCAGAATAAAATGGTACCATCTTTTATTTCGTTGCCTTCTCGTCAGCTGCTTACATCGCAAAGACATTATTAAATATATCTACAACAACAATTTTAACATACTTGCACAGGGTTCAGTTTAAACAAAAATTAATCGATCAATATACTCATACACTAAAAATATATACATATATAAATATGCAATATTAACCACTATTCCGAACAATAATAATCAAACACAATGGAAACTTTTAGCATTTCACTTTCGGATGAAAGAGAGGTGAAATTATCCAGTTACCAGGGTAAAGAAAGACTGATAACCGCTTCTTTCTGGACGCATAAATCAGGTTTCAGGCACTTGATGGAAATGGCTTCAGCAAACTTAAGGAGAATTGAGCTATTTTGCTTATTGATAATTTTGAACGACTTTTCGACGTCCACCTCATGACCCGTGTCGAGGAGATGCCTGGTGATGGCACTGTTTAAAGCATTTGTTCCTTTTATACGTAAGCTTTTTGGTACATGTTCAAAAAAACGTAGATATGCCCTTCTTTCCTTCCTTCCAATGTAACTGCTCCCGCAGATACATGTAAATTTGTATACACCGTTGGAGGTAACATGAGAAGGATATCTACCGATTTTTGATTGCACCAAAGAGCAAGTTGTTCGACAGACGGGAACGAGCTTAGCTGCAGGATACGCTATGGCTAGTGATGTACTCAGCCTTCTATTGATCATCGCTGCAGTATTTTCACCTTTATAATCAAGCTGAAGGTAAACTGGCATTTTTTCCACTGTGATTTGTTTTACATTTGTGACTTCAGATCTTCCATACTTGTTGATGAACCTTTGAGGATACCCATTTCTCTTCAATATATTTTCAAAGAACTCAAACTCCTCCTCTAGTTTCTCTTTAGAGCATATTCTCCTCGCTCT